AAAAGCAAAGCGTGCTGCTTATATATCGCCCCACAGCATCTTAAGCACTCACTGTTTTTGTTTCTTTGTTTTATTTATTTATTTATTGCTGCCACTGATTATGCCCAGTGGTTAGACAGGAAGAATGGAATCCCCCTTTTCTTTCGGGTCTTATATAACAATACTATAAAAGGATACAGGGAATACTGTTGCCCAATTATAAAAGCAAAGCGTGCTGCTTATATATCGCCCCACAGCATCTTAAGCACTCACTGTTTTTGTTTCTTTGTTTTATTTATTTATTTATTTATTTAAAAAGGACCCGAGGTGGCTTTCCACAATTTAAAGATACAGTAGTCTTTTAAGCTAACAGCAAGTGAGTATGATCCTAAAAGGATCAAATGAATGCAATACAAAACAACATACGTCGAGACAGGATATTCACATTCGTATCCCTGGGGATAACAATACAAATATCAGCATCAGAGGCACCTAGAAAGTCCCAGTCCCTCCCACCCTGAATTGACAGGTCCAATTTTTGGTCTCCATGCGTGCAAGTGGCTGGCCTTGTTCCGGTTGTGCCAGTTGTGGAAGTAGCCTCTCCTGTGTTTCCACCAGGTGTGACTGTAAAGGTGGTGGGATGGAGAGGAAAGCCTCTCCTGATGATCTTAACACTCAAGAAGGCTCATCAAGGGAAGATGCAGTCCTTGAGATCGCTTGGATCCAAGCCATGTAGGGCTTTATAGATTCAACCAAGCACTTTGATTTCTGTCCAGAAATGGGTTGGAAGCCAATGGAGCTGCTGTAACTGGGCAGGTGGGTCATCCCTGTCACCAGCCCCAGTCAGCAATCTGGCTGCTGCATTTTGGACCTGTTGAAATTTCCTGGCCCCATATAGAGTGCAAAACAGTGGTGCCTCACTAGACAGTTACCCCGCATGACAGTTTTTTTCGCTAGATATTGGCTTTTTGCGATCGCTATAGCAATTCACAAAACAGTGATTCCTATGGGGGAATTTCACTGGACAATGTTTGGTCCCTGCTTCGCAAACCAATTTTCGCTAGACAATGATTTTGACAGCTCCCTCTGCGCTTGCAAAACAGGTGTTTTCGGGACCAATGCCTTGCAAGACAGCGATTTAAAAAGCTGATCGGCGGTTCACCAAGCTGGCACACTATTCTGAAATGTGCAAATGCATTCCTGGCCACTACTGAAAAATGGGCGTCCAGATTCAGAGACCAGTCCAGGAGTAACCCCAAACTAAGCACTGGGGGTTTCAGGGGGAGTAGAGGCTGCATCCCTCTTCCTTGATCTACCTTTCAGCTAACTAACCAGGAGCACCTCTGTCTTGTCTGGATAAAGTTTCAGTTTATTCACCCCCATCCAGTTCATGACTGACGCCGGGCACTGATCTAGAACCGAAACGGCTTCCTTGGATTTAGATGGCAAGGAGAGTTAGGAGAATTGGGTGTCATCCGCATACTGGTGACACCAAACCCCAAAACTCCAGTTAGTTGTTCTCAGCAGTTTCATGTAGATGTTAAATTGTATAGGGGACAAAACAGATCCCTGGGGGACATCACAAGTCAAAGGCCAGAGTATCCAACTGAAGTCCCTCACCATCACCTGCTGGGGTTTTCCCTCCAGGAAGGACTGGAGCCACCATAAAAAGTGTCTCTAAGTTCCCATCCTGGAGAAAAATACCCCAAAGGACAACGTGGATGATGGTACTGAAAGCTCAGGAGAGGTCCAAGAGGACCACCGGGGACCCTTGTCCAGATCCAAAGCCAATCGGACCAAAGCCATCTCTGTCCTATAACCAGGCCTGAAGCCAGATTGAAACAGATTGAGGTAATCCGTCTCCTCCAGAAACCGCTGGAGCTGAGAAACCAACACACGTTCCGGGACCTTGTCCAGGAATTGGAATCTTGGGGACTGGCCCCTCGTTGTCCAGTAGACTGGGATCCTGGGAGGGCTTCTTCCGTCACGGTCTTCTTCTTGCCTCCTTCTTTGGAGGTTTTCAAGCAGAAGCTAGATGGTCCATCTGTCGGGAGTGCTTTGATGGAGTGACACATGGGGAAGGGCACCATGGTTGATGGTATCGAAAGCTCAGGAGAGGTCCAGTACAGCCGAAAGGGACAACACTCCCCTAATCCAATTCCCAGTGTAAGCCATTCACTGAAGCCACCAGAGCAGTCGCTGTCCCATAACCAGACCTGAAACCAGGCTGAAATGGATCTAAATAATCAGTTTCATCCAGAATTCCCCAAGAACTGAGAAGCCACAACCTCCTCCATCACCTTGCCAAAGCATGGAATATTAGGGACTGGCTGGTAGTTATCCAGTACTATGGACACCGTTCCAAACAGATATGTAGAAGCCTTCACCTCTCCAAGACTTTTCTTCACATCATCAGGCTACAGTAATGGAAACTCATCCATCCACACTGGGCAAGCATGAGGGTTTAATTATAATTAAAGTATGCAGGCTACTTGTTGCACCCCCGCCACAACAAGCTGGGCACTCAATGTGCTGATCTCAGAATGATGGAAAATAGCGTCAGCCTCTAGCCAGCTGTCTGAGCCCATTGGGATCAAACTCAGGTCATGAGCAGAGTCGTGACTGCAGTACTGCAATTTAACCACAGCACCACGAGGCTATAATTCTTGTCCCCCTCATGGCAGGTTTCCCATGCTCGTGGCTGAGCTTGAGTTGGAGGATATTTTGCCCACCCCTCTAGGAAGGGGTGGCACGTTCACCAAAGCTTTGTGAGTTTTGGCCGCCAAGAACTTTCTGGCTTCTTTCAGACCTCCCTTTCGGAGTCCTGGAGGGCAGCCCAGAGAAAATGAAGAATCACATCACTGATGCCAATGTGTGGAAGCAAGAGCCGGACCATTAAAAAAGCTGACTGCCAAATAATTGTTGCATTTGAATTGTGGTGCCGGAGGAGGCTCTTGAGAATCCCCTGGACTGCAAGGAGGACAAACCTCTCCGTTCTGAAGGAAATCAACCCCAAGTGCTCACTGGAAGGACAGATCCTGAAGCTGAGGCTCCAATACTTTGGCCATCTCATGAGAAGAGAAGACTCCCTGGAAAAGAACCTGATGTTAGGAAAGTGTGACAGCAAGAGGAGAAGGGGACCACAGAGGACGAGATGGCTGGGCAGTGTCATTGAAGCAACCAACATGAATTTGACCCAAATTCATGGAAGACAGGAGGGCCTGGTGTGCTCTGGTCCATGGGGTCACGAAGAGTCGGACACGACTAAACAACAACAACCTCTCTACTGTTTTTAAGGCATGAGTTTTAATAAAAGGAATTAAATTATGCTTTTCTTTTGGAGGGTGGAGAGCAAGAAAAGAAGGGGGGGGGGGACCATGAGTTTAAATGCAAATGCAATTTTTAAAAAGAAAGAGCTGTTTCAGGCTGCTTTGAGTCCTTTCACTGGGAGAAAGGCATAGAAAGAGCGTAAATGAGTAAGGAATAAATCACTGAATGGAGAAGAGGGAGGGCCGCCTTTGACTCCCACCCAGCTTTTTATCTCTCCCTCTCTCTGTGTGTGTATGTGTGTGTTCAATTAAGGGGAAATCACCTTTCCATTAATGGAAAAGAGGAATAGTCCAACTCTATTCCTCAGTTCCTAGAGATTCCCAATCGGAATGATAAGAAATGAGGCCATAGCCGGCCTTTTCCTTCCTAGACCGTCCTCCCAGGCAAGTTCGTAACAGGTGGCAAGCGAGAAAGACCGCCTCATCCCTAGAGCGCCCTTCCCCAGGAACACGATCTCAGAGGGGAAAACGAGAAGGGGATATCCTCCTAGAATGTCCTTCCCAGGCACACCGGAAGTGCGTTCCCTTATTTTTCCTCCGCTGAAGGTGCCGCTTCGGAAGCCTGGAAGCAGGTGAGTCTGCAGGTGGGTGGGGGGAGAAGGAGGGAGGGATCAGGGAAGGGGCC